TCGGACTAATCTTTTCCTTGTATCCCGTTCTCTTCATTCTCCCTTGCTCCCGAAGGGATGAGACCAGTGGAGTATTTTAGATGGCTGCTCACAGGCTTTTAAGACCCCAGATGCTACTCATCAAAGTAGAATGTAGAACATTGTCTTTATAAACTATGTTATGCCAATTGAGCTAGGTGTTCCCCGAGACCATTAAAACCAACCATTTCTTTATCAGACATACTGCTTGGACCAACGTACAATTTTTGTTCCAACAGATGTCTTAATTCCACTGATCCCAGTTGAGTGAAAAATAACAGCATCTTTAAAGAAAAGCAAAATAGGTTATTATTCTGTGTGGGCCGTCCTTTTTAGTCCTCCTTTCTTTAGGTGAGATCACCAGCTATTTTAAACCCATTCAAAAGGTACTGAAGTTAATGTTAGCATGTCTTTTAGAAACCCTGCAAGAAACAAAAGACCAATAACTGTATGAAAAGATACTTCAACTCACTAATAAATCAATGGAATTCAAATTAAAGCAAGATGCCCTTTTTAGGCCATTACATTGGCAAAGGTTGAAGTGATTGGCCAAAGCCAGTATTGTCAGGTCATGGGAAGTTAGTCCCCTCATTGTTGGTGGGAGTGCCAAAGAATGGGGCCTGGTTGAAGGGCAATCGGACAGTAACCATCAGTTTTAAATATACAAACCCCTTGACCCAGAAATTCTACCTCTAGGAGTTTCTCTTTTAGAAACACACAGACATGCAGAGATTTGTGTACAAGGTAGTTGTTGGCAGCATTCCTTACTGGCAAAAAAAAAATATGTTGGAAACAATCTGTAGGTCCACCCAAAAATTAATGCTGAAACCACCCAGTGGAATCCTCTGCAGGCATTGAAAAGAGTGAGAGATAGATGTTATACCAACATGGAAATACCATCCACAGTGTATTAATTTTTTAAAAATCAACAAGCAGAGTAGTAAGCTGAGTTTCCTTTTATTGTGTATATATAGAAAAATGGAAGGATATGCAACAAATAGTTAAAGTTGTTTAGAGAATCAGCTCAGTGAAATGGTCTACATCACGCCTTCCTATGTCATTGGAATTTTTCACAATGAATTTGTGTTGCTTTACTGGTCAAATAAATTAAAAATTTAAAAAAACTGAGAGAGAGTCTCTGCCAACCTAGGTAAACCCAGTTGTCTCTTGTGTTTTTGTCTTAGATCCCACTATGCTTACAGACATGATGAAAGGAAATGTAACAAATGTTCTCCCTATGATTCTGATCGGTGGGTGGATCAACATGACCTTTTCAGGCTTTGTCACAAGTAAGTTCCAAACCCGCACGTTTACTCCGTCTGCTCGTTTCCTGTGTCCCTCTCCAGAGAAAACCAACTACTTCTGAGACAATACATCATGGGTCTTATGGGCTCCAGTGGAAACAGAACATTGCTTGAACAGAAAAGAAAAACTTAATACGCTATGATTTTGTGGTTCGTCTCCCAAACTGGAGCCCTGGTAGCGTAGTGGTTAAAGCTCGTCTGCTAACCAAAAAGGTCGGCAGTTCGAATCCACCAGCTGCTCCTTGGAAACCATATGGGGCGGTTCTACCCTGTCCTGTAGGGTCGCTATGAGTCAGAATCAACTCAGCGGCAATCGGTTTGGTTTTTGGTTTCTCTCAAACTAATCCTAAGCTCATGGTGTGGACATTGTTTTTTTTTTCCCCCAATTTTTATAAAATTGCTATTAAACCTTACAATGTATGGCAAAATATGTGTAGTTCATCATTTAAAAAAGAAGTGTGAGTGCTTTTTTTCTAGTGAGATCTCAAACAGGTGACTTGCTGGTTTGCATCCGAAACTAACAGTATTCTGCTGAGTAGGATAAAGGGAAGCTTGTTTTGGCTTTGACTTCATTTGCCAGGTGTTGGAGGATTTGTTTATCTATTTGTTTGTAAGTTTATTTGGCTTGATTTTAATCAATTTGGTTTCTTAGTACTATCGTTCTTTGTGTATATATATTCCACTTAGGGTTTGACAGATTAGTGCACATTTTTTCCAGATTTTAGATCATAGCTCACTTTGAGTCCCTGCTTCCTCAGCAGTAGAGCAGCTGGTCTTATTCACAGAAACTTTAGAAGTGACATTTTGACTATTTTTTTTTCCTAAAAATTGTCACAAACTTCTTTATGAAAATCATTTTCCAAAAGCTGTGTGGTACAGAGTTCCCACCTCCTTGGGGAAAGAATATGCGCATTCACACTTAAACAGTTCTAAAAATAAAAAAGCTAGGAGCGATTGTGAACTTGTTCTTTCTTCTCTGCAGCCAAGGTCCCATTTCCATTGACGCTCCGTTTTAAGCCTATGCTCCAGCAAGGAATTGAACTACTCACATTAGATGCATCCTGGTAAGAACTTTCTTTTATTTAATAAAAATGCAAACCAAAATCTGAAACCATGCCTCTTAAGAACAAGATTTCCAGTTTCCACACTTGACTGGGGGAGATTTTTTTAAGGTTTTTTTTTTTTTTTTTTTTTTCATCAAAACCCCACTCAAAATGCTGTGGGTGGATTATAGCAACTTTTACATGATTCAGTAGTCTTGCCAAAGGAGAGAATGTGTCAGCCTCCTTCTTCTAGCATCTTGAGGCTTAGAAGTGTAGGGGTGGATGTGTCAACCCCAAAAGTGAAAAAGCAAGGAACTCTGACCAGGCAAACCTTTTAGCAATACAGTGTAGCTTATGGGAGTGGATGTTTTTATTACTTTTAGCAAAATACATTACTACTACTAATAACATTCATCATTTTCATTGGCACCAGTAAGTGTGCTAGATGTTTTCCATACGTTATCTCATTTTATTTTCATAGCAGCCCTATGAAGTGGGTGGAAGAATTGAGATTTGAACACACAGTCTTGTCAAAACCCAGCACTTAGGTCTTATTTACCACTCTATTCTTTATAGCCGAGCAATAAAACCCAGAATCTAAAAAGGTCTTAAAAAACACTGTTACAGTATCTGGAACCAAGTAGCACTTCTTCGTGTGATCTCTCCAGACTATTTTGTCTAAGGCTTCCTAAAGACTGCCATAAAAAGGGAGCCAAACAAGAAGACGAGGAGGAAGATGGGGTTGGGGGACACTAGTAGTAATCTTGACTCAACTCCTGGTTCAAGCTGAACCTGGTTGTATGGGAGGGGCAGGCCAGGCCAGATGCTGGGAAAGTTGTGGCTCTGGACCATCCACTGGAGGAGAAAAGCTGTACTTAATGCAAGTAGCATGCCTCTGTTATACCTCCACCTTCCAGTCTCTTTGGGCAGAACAAAAATTTTGTGAGCTAGAGAAAAGTTTATTTTTTCTCAGCATCTGGACTGGTCTCAGAATCTGCTTATATGGGCAAACGGGAGATAGGACCTGAGTTTACAGTTAGCTTAAGGTTGTATACGGATTAGTAACGTTATGTACAGACAGGTCAATAACTTGCTTGCAACCTGACAGAGTAACCAGAAATATTCTTGTGCTGTTGTGTGGCCCAAGTATCAGAATGAAGTATGGGTTTCTTTCCATTCATGTATCATTTCTCATACTCCTTTTAGTTTGTATTATATGCAAACATATTTATTTTATGGGGGCAGGGTGGGAACCCTAAGCTAAAGGAAGCCTCATGGTAAAGTTCAAAACTTGGAATGACTTTCCTAGTAGCCACAGTTCTCAGTATTGCAAGTATTTCCTGAAAGCCACCTTTAATCATTTTGTGTAGGTATGGAACACACCCACACTTCAACAGTGATTTCCTCTAGAGAATGGGATTCAGGACAAGAGATGCCTTTTAGTTTTTATTTTATGCCTTCTGAATTGTTTGCATTTATTATACTTAACAAGTGTATGTTAATGTTTTGAAAACTCATTGTGTAGAAAGGAAAATTAAAATAAACAAAGCGTACATTCCTTCATGCAAGGAAGCCCACCAGTTGTGAGTTCACTTCCTAGTACTGGATGCAGAAGAATTTATTATGTAGCTACATGTAGCAGTTTACCTAGAGAGCCATAACTATTTGTAAGGCTGCCTTAGCAACTTGTATTTCTTCTTTGGTTGTGCTTTGAATAAATAAAGCCTATCCCAGGTGATTTCTTTATATATGCTGAACAATTTGGGGTGATAGGAAAGTGTGAACTGCATTAATTTCCGAAATAACTACACTGTTTTCACTTCTGCTTTGCTAGGGTGAGTTCTGCATCCTGGTACTTCCTCAATGTATTTGGGCTTCGGAGCATTTACTCTCTGATTCTGGGCCAAGATAATGGTAAGAAGCATGTCAGGTTTAATAAGCAAATACCACCTACTCTTCTCGATAGATGAATCATCCGTGTCAGGGCCAGAAAAAGCATGTAGGTTTTGCTGTTTGTTAGTACAGTCCAGTATAATGTCTTGTTCCTTAAACTCATTCTTAAGTTTCTGAGGTGTTCTAAAAGAGTCTTAAAAATTCCAGGGGTCAATCCAAAGGCCTTAATTCTACCTGGCAATCACTGGGACAGTATTTGGTTCCCCAAAGTCTGATTGCCTCATGTGAGGGGTGCAGCACCAGCAATGTAAGCCAAGGGCCTAAAACTGAAAGAAGGCCTGGCTCTATCAGTGAGTTCATTGACTAGATGGAAGATGCTTCCTCATTTTGGTGAGGCTGTTCAGAGCTTGAACATGCCATGGGCCCTCACCCCAGAATGGAGGAGAAGGGAGCTAAAACTGAGCGAAGAAAGGGGCAAAGGGCACAGTTCGTCCAGAGTTCCTGCCCTACCATTTCTGGCTCTCTTATTTAATAGCTGTGATCTTAGACTAGTTACTTAACCACTCTAAGCCTCTGTTTGCTTGTATGTAAAATAGGAACTTTAATAGGTAACTTGCACAGTTGTTAGAAGCTGCTGAGGTAGAATATGTAAAGAATTGAGTAAAGTGCCTGGCATATAATAGTTGCTTAGTAACTACTGACTGTTGTTATTGTTGTTTAAAATTGAAATAAAGTTTAGAGCTCCCTTTACTTATCTTCTCTGCTACTATCACCCCCATTGTTCAGGAAAAGTAAAGTGACTTTCCCAGGGTCACATAGCCAGGGAGTGACAGGGCCAATCAGTGAACTAACCCGACATTGAGGGCCTCTAAGTGTCATTTAAGGACCGTTTTTCCCTGAGGGTGCTTGGGTACTTGCTGAACACTGGCACCCATGTACGTGTGTCTTTTTTTTTTCTGTTCCATTGGTCAATGGGTCTGTCGTTGTACCAGTTAACAGGCTTTTTTGACTACCGTAGCTGTATAGTAGGTTCTGAGGTCAGGTAGTGCAAGTCCTCCTACTTTATTCTTCTTCTTCAATAGTGCTTTACTTATCCAGGGCCTCTTTCCTCTCTATATAAAGTTAATGATTAATTTTTCCATTTCTTTGAAGAAAGCTGTTGGTATTTGGATTGGGAGTGCATTATATTTGTAGATTGCTTTGGGTAGAATTGACATTTTCACAATGTTGAAACTACCTGTCCATGAGCATGGTACGTTTTTCCATTTATGTAGGTCTCTTTTAGTTTCTTGCAGAAGTGTTTTGTAGTTTTCTTTGTATAGGTCTTCTACATCCCTGGTTAGATTTATTCCTAACATATGTGTGTCTTGTACTGTAGCCGCTGACCAATCACGAATGATGCAGGAACAGATGACTGGAGCAGCCATGGCCATGCCTGCAGATACCAACAAGGCTTTCAAGGTACGCTTGGCTCTCCCTTCAGAGCTTACACGCAGGTTCTGAAAGGTGTCACCAGAGAGTTACTTGAAAAATGGGTTCCCTGAAGGCAGTGTAGTATGGCTCTATTGTATTGATTTAAGTTTTGCAAAAATGTATTCAGTTTGTATTTGTATACGTCTTGTTCCTCTGACAGAATCATCTGTTAAGTAAACTAGATATTTTTGGTAGTTTTTCTGATTTCTAAATGCTCACCCAAGTTTAGTCCACACTGTAAATGAAGCTGTAAAAACAGTCCGATCAGAAGCACCAGGGAAACATTTGGAATATTTTTTAACCTTTTTGAATCTTGTAGACATCAGATATGAATTGCATCTAAAAAATACTTAGAGCCTTTTCATGAAATGTATCTGGGATTTGTAAAATCCAGTATAGTTTTTTGTACAGCAAAATCTCACTTAAATTTTCATAATTAAAACATCTAGTGAACTAGAAATAGAAGGGAACTTCCTCAACCTGATAAAGGACATCTGTGAAAAACCCACAGCTAACATCTTACTTAATGATGAAGGACTGAGAGCTTTCCTTCTAAGATCAGGAACAAGACAAGGATGCCTGCTCTCACCAATTCTATTCAGCATTGTACTGGATGTTCTAGCCAGGGCGGTTAGGCAAGAAAAAGAAATAAAAGTCATCCAGATTAGAAAGGAAGAAGTAAAACTATCTCTGTTTGCAGGTGACATGATCTTGTGTGTAGAAAATCCTAAGGAATCCACAAAAATGCTGTTAGAGCTAATAAATGAGTTTTTAACAAGATTGCAGGATACAGATCAATATACAAAAATTAATTGTAGTTCTACACACTTAACAATGACGAATCCAAAAATGAAATTAAAATAATTTCATTTCCAATAGAATCAAAAAGAATAAAATACTTAGGAACATTGTGCTGAGTGAAGTAAGTCACGAAAAGACAAATTCTGTATGATCCCATGTATATGAAATATCTAGAATATGCAGATATCTAGAGACCAAAGTCTGATTACTAGTTACCGGGGGCAGGAGGAAGACTGAAAGGGGAATCTTAGCTTAGGAAGCATTGAGTATCTGTTAATGGTGATGGAAAAATTGGCAACAGATACAGGCAATGGTTGTACATCATAATTAATGTAGTCAATGTCAAGCAAAATATCTAGGAGTAAATTAAACAAAAGAGATATAAGACATGTACACTGAAAACTACCAAACATCATTGAAAGTAATTAAAGAAGACCTAAATAAATGGAAAGACATCCCATGTTCATAGCCTGGAAAATTTAATATTGTTAAGATGGTAAAACTCCCCAAATTTATATGCATATTCAGTGCAATCTCTATCAAAATTCCAGCTGCCTTTCTTGCAGAAATTAAGCTGATCCTAAAGTTCATATAGAATTGCAAGGATCTGAGAATAGCCAAAACAATTTTGAAAAAGAACAAAGTAGGACTCATACTTCCCAATTTTAACACTTACTACAAAGCTACAGTAATCAACACTGTATGGTAATGACATAAAGACAGACATATAGATCAATGGAATACTATTGAGAGTCCAGAAATAAACCCATATATTTACGGTCACCTGAATTTTGACAAGGTGCCAAGACAATTTAATGGAAAAGGAATCATCTTTTCAACAAGTGGTGCTAGGACAACTGGATCTCCACATGCAAAGGAGTGAAGTTGGACACCTACCTCACACCATGAGGAAAAATTAAGTTAAAATAGGTCAAAGACCTAAATATAAAAATAAAACTATAAAACTCTTAGAATTAAAAACATTGGCATAAGTCTTCATAGCCTTGGATTAGGAAATGATTTCTTAGATATGAAACCAAAAGCACAAGCAACAAAAAAGTGGAACTTTGTCAAAATGAAAAAAACTTCGGTGCTTCATAGGACACTATTAAGAAAGTGAAAATACAACCTGCAGAATGGGGGAAAATATTTGCAAATCATGTATCTGATAAGGGGCTAGTATCAGAATATAAAAAATTCTTAGAATTCAACAATAAAAAGACAACCCAGTCAAAAAATGGACAAAGATTTTGAATAGACGTTTTTCCAGAGAACATATACAAATGGCCAATAAGCACATGAAAAGATGCTCAACATCATTAGTCATTAGGGAAATACAAATCAGAACCTTAATGAGATACCACTTTACCCCCTCTAGGATGGCTAGATAGGAGCCTGGGTGGTGCAAGTGGTTTGCAATCAGCTGCTAACCTAAGAGGTTGGCAGTTCAGACCCACCTAGCGGCTCTGTGGAAGAAAGACCTGGTGAACTACTTCCATAAAGATTACAGCCAAGAAAACCCTATGGAGCAATTCTACTCTGTAACTCAGTTCAACTCTGTTGCCATGAGTTGAAATTGATTTGATGGCAACAATCGGGTTTAGGATGGCTATAATCAAGAAGATGGACAATAATAGGTGTTGGCAAGGCTGGAACCCTCATATACTGTTGGTGGAAATGTAAAATGGTGCAGCCACCTTGGAAAACAGTTTTTAGCCGGTTTTCAAAAAGTTAAACATAGATTTACCATGTGACTCAGCAGTTCCACTCGTAGGTGTATACCCAAGAGAATTGAAAACATATAACCACAGAAAAATTTGTACATGAATGTTCTTAGCACTATTTATAATAGTCAAAAAGTGGAACAACCCAAATGTCCATCAAAAGATGAATGGATAAACAAAATGGGATGTTCAGGCATATATATACAATTTAATATTATTCAGCCATAAAAAAGAATGAAGTACTGATATATATATACTACATGATGAACTTGAAAACATGCTAAGTGAAAGAAGCCAGTCACTAAAGACCACATATTATATAATTCGATTTATATGATATGTCCAGAGTAAGCAAATCCATAGAGACAGAAAGGAAAGTAGTAGTTGCCAGGGGCTAGGGGAGGGAGAATAGAGAGTGTCTGCTGTTGGGTACGGGGTTTCTTTTTTGTGGTGATGAAGTGTTCTGAAATTAGATAGTGGTGACGGTTGCATAACTCTGTGAATATATTAAAATCCACTGAATTGTACACTTTAGAAGGATGAATTTTATGGCATGTGAATTATATCTAACAAAAAAAATATACCCAGGAGCTAGCATTTGTATTGCACATTAAATCTCACAAAGCATTTAAAAAAAAAACTTAATAATTAAAGGTCAAAGAACTCAGCACTAATAGAGTATTTGAGAAATGTAATTTCTTGGAAACTTGAATGCATATTAATTTTCTGCTCAGCATATTAATAGCTTACATGCAAATGATTATATTCCAAAGCAGTTTTATATTGTGTGCTGTCAGATTGTTCTAGTGATGAGATCATCAAGAATATCAAATTACTGGACTCACAAACTGTAATGAAATGCCATTATGTAGGCATGAGGTGGGAGAATATGTTCTTACACCCCTTGAAGGTATGCCCGGCCATTTGTGTCAAAGCACCTTTGACCCTTCATGACTTAACCAGATGCCAAGTCTTTCGATGAAAGGGCTCAGAATCACAAAGCACTAATTTGTCTCTTGTACATCCCTCAAAGCTAGTGTCTACTACCTGTATTTCCAGCAGCTTCGTGAGCGTGAGCTGATGAATGAGAGGCAGTATGTTGGCAGTGAATTGTAAAGGTTAAGCACTGGGGCTTTGGAGTCAGGCCTAAATTTAAATCCCATCTCCACTGGTTGCTAACTCACTGGCCTCAAATTATCTGACCTTGCTTAGCCTTGGTCTCCTTATCTGTAAATGGCCCTCCATGGGGAGGGGGCAGGGACAACACTTTCCTCCTAGGATTAAATGTGTTGATACATGTAAAGAGTTTAACCCAACTCCTGACCCTGAGTATGTGCTCCCTAAGGGTCAGCTGTGCTGTCAGTGACAAACCCTCTTCTCCCTGGCCCTGGTGTCCTCTTTCTTTGCAGACAGAGTGGGAAGCTTTGGAGCTGACAGATCACCAGTGGGCGCTCGATGACGTTGAAGAGGAGCTCATGGCCAAAGACCTCCACTTTGAAGGCATGTTCAAAAAGGAATTACAGACCTCCATCTTTTGAAGAGCAAGCAGGGATTAGCTGTGTCAGGAACTCGGAATAGCGCTTAACCTTGTAACTTTCGTTTGAGCCAGAGCCTCTCAGAATAAAAAAGAGGGTGCATGAGCTGGCGGGCGTGCAGCAAGGATCATTCTTGTCTGAGCCAGGTTCCCCTTTGTGTTTGAAACTAGAGGAAATGAGGAGCATGTGCTGGGTGACTTATAGGGAGAGAGCTATTTAAAAAATGTTTTCAGTTTTCGTTCTGGTGACTCTAGTAATGAAACTCTCAGAAAGGGGGAAAACTCAAGCTAGTGATAATATAATATATAAAAACTTACCAAAAATTCTGTGTTTGAAAAAAGCATCGTCAATTTTAAGTAATTATTCTCTACAGTCAACCTAATTCAAACCACAGTAAACTCCTATTTTCTTGGGATCCAAACACTCTGCGTTTTTACCTTTAATTTTTCATGTTAGTATTTTTATAACTTTCTTTGCAAAAGTAGTACGTTTTCATTACCGGAAGTTTAGAAACTATGGATGAGCAAAATGAATCTCCCTGTATTGTTCATCTTGAGCCTACAGAATGACAGAGTAAATATGTCAAAACTGTATTCAAATAAACTCTTTCAGAGCAAATGCCCAGGGCCAACCTTCTATATCTCTTAATACTGTCCAGTGGAAATCGGCGACCCTGATACACTGCCAGATTCTCAAGTGCCTTTGGGATCATCACAGATAGGTCAGGTAATGTGAGGTCTTGATCTAGAGTTCAAAATATATCAAATCCACTGAAAAGTCATTGGTTCTGTACTGTATATGGCTACCCAGTTGAACTAAAGACCTCATTTCCCAGTTCTGGATAAGAGAGGGTCTGTATATCATTGTGAGAAGGGAAAGAGGGCAGTTGCTGACAGGCAGATAAGTGTTGCCCAGGAATATTCTGTCTAGATTAAATGTCCCAGGAAAGTGGCAGGGTGCCATGTCTGTACCAACAGGTGAATGTAATTTGCATGTTGAGCTCTGTAATCAAGAACAAATGACTCTTGACTCTACTAATTAAACCATCCTGTGTTCTCTTCTTTACCTCTAAGAGTGTTGCCTCTGTGGGTCCTTAAGAACCTTCTGCCAACAGTTACATCTGTTGTTGTCTTAGACTGGGTTCCTAGAGAAACAAAACCAGTGACACACATACATACATACATACATACATACATACATATATGTGTATATATGTATGTATAGAGAGGGGGAAAAAGAGATTTATCTCAAAGAAATGGCTCATGCAGTTGTAGAGGCTGGCAAGTCCATGGGTTGGGCATCAGGCTGGAGGCTTCTCCTGACTCACATAGCCGCAGGGGCTGATGAACCCAAGATGGGCAGGTCAGATGGCAGGCTGCTGGCTTACAGGCTGTGGACAGGCTGATGAATCCAGGATCGGCAGTTAAGATGGCAGGCTGCTGGTTCACAGTCTCTGGAGGACAACAAATCCCAAGATCCTCAAGCAGTACAGCAAAGTGCTGATTTAAGTCCCAAGAACCGGAGGTCACATGATGACGAGCCCGACACACTATCCAGAGTGAGCAAAAGCCAGTGAGCTCTGCCAGAACGTCCATATATATTGGGTGCAGGCCTAAGCCCTGAGAAAATTCCCCTGTCAACTGACTGGCTAATCACATCAGATAACATCATGGAGGTGATTACATTGTATCACAAAAAGGAGGATAACTACAGCTTACATAACTGCCAAACTACTGAGAATCATGGCCCAACCAAGTTGGTACACAACCTTAACCATCACAGTCTAACCCTTGTCAACCTGGCGCCTGTACACATCTCCTTAAACCATACACAGTCTCTAAATAAAGACAATTACAAAGTCATACTTGCACCTAACATGATATAACTAACATGAGTACAACCAAAAATGCACTAACCCTGTTTACATCTTATATTTTACAAGTGAAGAAAACAAAAATATTTGATGTACACATACAAAGAAGGAGTAATTATACCAATTACGGTCCTCATTTCTATACCTGGTTATGTGTTCGTAACTGGTATTTAGAACTACCTTCTTCCACCACCCATTCCATATTCCCTTTGCCCTCAGGAAGCACCTCAGCTGCTTGTGGTTCATAGCCTGGTGAGGTGACCCAAACCTTCCTTCATTCCTGTAGAGTCTGGTCCATTAGTAGTAATGTCGGAATTGGGTTGCTGTAGTTTTCCATGAACTTTAATCACAGGGCATAGTAGTACTAAGAGACGTCCTAAGGGATCTCCTGTATTCCAGACATAGTCTTCTTTACCTCCTTTATGTAATTACCAATCTAATTTCCCCTTGATAGTCAGGATCAATCACACCAGCCAATACAGTAACTCCCTTCTTTGCCTGTTAACCCAGAGGCATGAAGAGCCCAAACTGGCTGGGTGGCATTCTTCCAGTTTAGTGGAATCAATGATGTGTCTCCTGGTGGAAGCATTCCTCCCTTTGGAACTAAGACCTCTAGACACGTAGAGCATAGGGTCATGGGGACAGGAAGCAAAAATTTTGTGAATGGGTCACTAAGGGTAATAGTGATGCCACTCCCATTTCCACCCCTTGATTCCTGAACCCATGAATCCTGGCTATGGGAGAAAGAGCACCATATATTGGACACTGGTTTAGAGCATATACAGCCTCCTGGAGAACATTGCCCCAACCCTGCAAAGTATTGTCACCTAGCTGGCACTGTAATTATGGCTTTAGAAGGTCATTCCATCATTCTATCAAGCCACCTGCTTCAGGATGATGGGAAACATGGTAAGAACAGCAAATTCCATGAGCATGGGCCTGTTGCCACACTTCATTTATTGTGAAGTGAGTTCCTTGATCAGAGGTGATGCTGTGTGGGATACCATAATGGAGGATAAGGCATTCTGTCCACAGATGGTAGTTTTGGCAGAAGCATTCCATGCAGGGAAGGCAAATCAATATCCGGAGTGTCTGTTCCAGTAAGAACAAAGCACTGCCATTTCCTTGATGGAAGCAGTCCAGTGTAATCAACCTGCCACCAGGTTGCTGGCTGATCACCTCGAGGAATGGTGCCATATGGGGGACTCAGTGTTGGTCTCTGCTGCTGGCAGATTGGACACTTAGCAATGGTTGTAGCCAAGTTGGCCGTGGTGATTGGAATTCCATGTTGCTGAGCCCATGCATAACATCCATCCCTGCCACCATGGCCACTTTGTTCATGAGTCCATTGGGCAATGATGGGAGTGGCTGGGGAAAGAATATGTCATCCTATCCACTTGACTCTTAAAATTCCCTGCCAAGGTCACCCTTTGGGTAGCATTCACATGAGACACCTATCTTCACTTCTTGGGCCCATTCAGAGAGGTCTGTCTACAAACCTCTTCCCCATACCTCTTTGTCTCCAATTTTCCAATCATGTTCCTTCCGAGTCCCTGATTATCCAGCCAAACCATTGGCCACAGACCGTGAATCGGTATACCATCACACACTAGGCCATTTCTCCTTCCAAGCAAAGTGAACAACCAGGTGCATAGCTTGGAGTTCTGTCCATTGGAAGGATTTCCCTTCACTACGTCCTTCAGAGAGGTCCAGAACGGGGCAGCAGTGCTGCTGCTGTCCGCTTTCAAGTGCTGCCGGCGTATCGCACAGAACCATCTGTAAACCAGACACGAGTTTGCTGTTCCTTAGTCAACTGATCATAAGGACCTCCCCATGAGGCCATAGGTGCCGACTGGGAGAGGGAAGGTAGTGTGACAGTAGTAGAGACATGGGCATTTGGGCCACTTCCTCATGCAACTTGTGCTTTCAGATCCTGCTCAGGCCCGATCTCGTATATACCACTTCCATTTAATGATCGAGTGCTGATGTCCATGTCTAGCTTTATGGTTCTGTGGGTCAGACAACACCCAGTTCATGGTGGGCAGCTCAGGCTCAGGCTGCATGGTGACTGGTGGCCCACGGTTATGTGTTCGTTCTCTACTAAGGCCGAGTAACAAGCAAAAGCTGTTTCTGAAAAAGAGTAGTTATCTGCAAAGGATGGCAGGGCTTTGCTCCAAAATCCTAAGGGTCTATGCTGTGACTCACCAATAGGGGCCTGCCAAAGACTCCAGACAGCATCTCTATATGCCACGGACAGTTCAAGCACCATTGGATCAGCCGAATCATATGGCCCAAGTGGCAGAGGGGCTTGCACAGCAGCCTGAACCCGTTGCAGAGCCTTCTCTTGTTCTGGGCCCCACTCTAAACTAGCAGCTTTTTGAGTCACTTGATAAATAGGTTGGAATAGCACATCCAAATGAGGGACATGTTGCCTCCAATATACAAAGAGGCCCACCAGGTGTTGTGCGTCCCTTTTAGTTGTGAGAGGGGCCAGATGCAATAATCTACCCTTCACTTTAGAAGGAGTATCGTGACATGGCCTGCATCACTGGGACCCTAGAAATTTCACTGAGGTGGAAGGTGCCTGAATTTTTGTTGGATTAATTTCCCACCCTGTAGCACGCAAATGTTTTGCCAGTAAGCACAGAGTCACTGACACTTCTTTCTTACTAGGACCAATCAGCATAATATCATAAACGTAATGGACCAGTGTGATGTCTTGTGGAAAGGAAAGGCAATCGGTCCGTGTGGACTAAATTGTGACCTAGGGCTGGAGAGTTGATATACCTCTGAGGTAGGACAGTGAAGGTGTACTGCTAGCTTTGCCAGCTGAAGGTAAACTGCTTCTGGTGTTCCTTCGAAACTGGAATTGAGAAAAAGGCATTGGCTAGATCAATAGCTGCATACCAGGTACCAGGAAATGTATTAATATGCTCAAGCAATGAAACCACATCTGGAACAGCGGCTGCAATTGGAGTCACCACCTCGTTAAGTTTACTATAATCCGCTGTCATTCTGCAGGATCCATCTGTTTTTTGCACAAGCCAAGTAGGTGAGTTGAATGGGGATGTGGTGGGAATCACCATCTCTACATCCTTCTTCAAGTCCTTGATCATGGCAGTAATCTCGGCAATCCCTCCAGGAATGCAGTGTTGGGCTTTTGGTTTACTGTTTGCCTGCATAGAAACAGTTCTAATGGCTTCCACTGGCTTTTCCTGCCATAATAGCCCTTACTCCACTTGTCAGG